ATAGGGAAGTCTGGGCGTCTCTGCTTAGACTGCTGCCCCCGCGACCCGGCAACGGATAAAGCGGAAGAAAATGGATGGATGGATGGATGGATTGACATTGACCTGTAGCAATGTCTAGTTCAGTGGTCTCCAACTTTTTCAATCCAGAAATCTACTTTTTCTAACAAAAGGCGATGAGATCTTTCAATAATCCTTCTTGCAGACCTGAGAACAGAGTTGGGGTAAACAGCATTCCCTCCCATAAATAAGGTTGTGTTGGTTAGCACTCTCGCTTCTCAGCAAGAAGGTCCAGGGTTCGAATCCTCGGTCGGAACATGGCCTTTCTGAGTGGAGTTTGCATGTTCTCCACATGTCTGCGTAGGTTTCCTCTGGGTGCTCCGGTTTCCCCTACCACTAAAAACATGCACAATAGGTCTGAACGTAGATGAGAGAGTGAATGGATGGTGTTGGGTCAGAGGCTTTGATGGTCCAGTGTGTTCTGGACTCGCTTCTGTCATCACCGTGTGTGGAAGGATTGGAACAATATCTGACTCTGAACTTTGTAAAGTGCTTTGGGTCTGTACCTTGGTCTGTAAAAGGCGCTATATAAATAAACATTACTTACTTGTAGTCCTGCCATCATTATCTTTATAAAACATACATTTCTTTTGCATACTTGGAAGGAAGAGCCCTGTGCGTCACTTTTTAACACTTTGGACTAAGAGCTTGGCCTACTGTAGCTAGATTGGTGCCCTCTTTTTGCTCTTTTCTGTCAAAGAAAGCTGATCTAAATATGTGACAGAGACCAAAACACAAAATGCACGTGGACACAACACAGACTTTATAAACTAAACTGTTTTGAATGCTAGACACTTGTGAAATGGATTTCACCCGGGTAATTACATCTTTTTGGGGGGCTCAAACATTGCAGTGTGGATTTGCAATTCTAACAAGCATATAGTAATAGTAGTGAATCAATTGGATCTTATTCAGCCTCATGAAAAGCCATTGCGCAAACTACAAGTGTGCATATTTAAGACAACATAGGCCAACCCACTGCATTACTCCCAAAGCACGCTCCTCTGTAGTCGCAGTACAGGGAGTTTTAAATGTTCTCTTTCATTAGTTTTATTAGCTTTTGTCTGGTGGAGGTGGAGGCTGACTGGGGGCTTAAGCTGCCTAAAGCCGGTGGGGGTAGAGATAAGAAACAGCAGCGTAAACCAAATAAAGCTGATTTGCACTCGAGTAAAGGTCGTCGTTGCATACGCTCTGATTCTATTATGTCTGGACTGAAAGATTACCCGATTGTTCCATACAATAAGACATATGCATACAGAGCAGAGATGGGCTGACCCTAGGGGGCAGATGATAAGGATTTGATGAAATGAACCATTGAATAAACATAAAAATAAAGCAGAGTTGATGCCAAATAATGTTAATAATTGTATTGTGAGATTTCATAACACTTTTAAGCAACTTTTGTTAAAGTTAAACTCATCATTCTATCAATGTGCAGAAGCCAGTACTTTTCCCTTGTTGTGTCTATCTGAAGGCCAAGCTACATGGCACTGTGGCAGCTGCTGATTGGAGGTCTCCATGCCTCCGCTCTGTATAATACACTTGCATTCTGTGTTTGTGTTGTTCGTCCTGTCTCTACCATCGACAATATGTCTTCTGTCGGAATGAAAGACGCGATCCCAGACATGTCATCTTCTTCAGGTGGTGGAGGATGCGGGCCTTGTCTGTAACATCTACAGAACAGAAGACTTTTTTTTTTTACACAAAAATTTGGGTTTTTTTAAGCCAAAACTGAGAAACCTCAAGAGAAACCATGCATCTGGATCAGCACTTGTACAATCTGCAGCACAGCCCCTGATTCCAGTCAGGCTGTGAGCTGCTGAGACATGGACAATACCATCGTCCTCTTTTGCATGGACATAATTTGGAACAATTGGATTACGCAATTTGGACATAATTTGGAACAATTGAATTGCTGAATCTGGACACTGAAGCTGAAACGTGTGATTGAAAGACACGTCACAGAATAATTCATGGCTCGACACAAATGCAGCCTGAAGAAATCAACACCTCTGCTCTGTATAATACACTTGCATTCTGTGTTCGTGTGGTTCGTGCTGTCTCTACCATTGACAATAAAACATGTCTTCTGTCTGAATGAAAGACGCGATCCCAGACTTTGTCATCTTCTTCAGTATATACATTTTTTTTGAATGTCCACATATTTTACTTCTAACACATACGTAACAAATACCACGATGGCCACCATGTATGTGCACACTAAAGACAAAGAGAATCATATTTCCCGTGATGGTTTTACCAAAATATTGTCAGGAAGTGAAATTCCACAGAGAAGATAAGACGGTACTGTTACATAAACGTCACCAGAGCTTGAGATTCTGAGGCTGTGGAACTTCCTCACTGATCTGCCACTGACTGTATATAGTTGCAGTAGAAGTAGTATACCATTATATTGGAACAGAAGCATGCTAGTACCCACAACATTTTTTAAGATGCATGTATGCTATTGATTGACATTTTTCCCCATTTCTTTAACCGTGTGTCATACTTTATTATCATGGTAATTTGATTGATAAGTTCCATTTTTAAAAACACAGATATAGTGTGACGATATATCAATATCGTGATGTATCGTGATACTTTCTGTCGCGATCGATTATCAATATGCTTTTTGCAAGTATCGATTTAAAAATAAATAAATAATACAAATATTTTTTTTAATTATCTTTTTAAAATTAGTATCAATACTTAATATATGGCTACATTACGCATTTCCATTCCATTTATCATGAAATAAAGTGTATTTTTTCACTTTTTCTTTTGTGTACTATATGAATCCAGAGTTGAGAATTAGTTAATAACTTACACTTGTAACTATTTCGTGTTAATCCAGATTACTTTACTAAAGATTTCTATAACAGTATATTTCTGACCAATATATCGATAATCGTCATATCGCATGGCGCCGTGGCAACAGCTCTAGTGTGTGCCGTCTTCTCTGTCTGGTGCACACTGGGGTAGTCTTGCACAGTTTTTCCAATGTGGTTTTACTGCAAATGGCAAATAAATGAATCTGACTCTGAATCTGTGATATAATTGTTATCGTGAGCTCTGTATCGCGTATCGTGAGGTACCCTGAGGATCCCACCCCTACACAGATATCTGGTTTTGAAAATGAACCTAATTGTTTATTCTTCAGATAATCCACCAGCTTGAAAAGGGTTGCTGATCTCACAAAGGAGAAATGTACTTGTCACATTTGCCTTAAATCACAATATGTTAAAAAGTGAACAATATAGTATATTTTGTGCAAGATATTTTATATACAATCAAGTTAAGTTACCTTCTATCTTAAGTGTATATTGATACTTTTTGCATATACCCCAAGTAATTGTATTGAAGCCAAAGGTAACATGTTCAATTCTCCATTTTGAGATCAACTAAGTTTTATCTTATATAAGACTTGTGCTAATAGGAGCCAGACTGATTTCATTTCAGACCACATGGAACAAGCGTGTCTCATCATTGCACTCAAAACACATATTGATAAAACCCTAATTTCCCCAAATGAAAGGAGTGATAAACTGTATAAATTAACACCAATAAGAAAGACAAGATAGTCAAACGCCATATATTATTTTCATTTTCACAAAATATCAACACAACAGTCGTACAAACATAAACGGTAAGGTGAAACCGATGTCATTGTTTAATATGCCCAGTTGCATTCGAGTCCAAAGGCACCGTCGTGTTTCTTCAGTCAAGCCTCTGTGTCTTTCAATCTGCAGCTAATCTCTTGCATTAAGACTAAAAACAGCTTAGCTTCAGTCAAAAAAAAGAAAGACAAGGAAAACACTGAACCTTAGCTGCAGAATTTGGCATATGGTGAATTGCACTTGCTGTAAAACCAAAACATTTAGCCACTTCAAACGGCCTTAAATGAAACAGCCTTAAATCACTCAGCGCCGAACGTTTCAAATTATCCGAATGGCTGACAATCTTACTCCCTCGGACGGTCCCGATTGTGGAATGACCTCAAGTTCAAACTGCCGTCCACGCTGCGGCGAGGTTTCTCAGCGGCTCAAATATGCCCAGGCAGTTACTTCAAAAATAAATAGAAAAATAAACGTTAAAAGTACCATTTTTGGGTTAGTTATTTAAGACGTGGTGAATGATCCATGATGATGTAACAAAGTACATAGTGGTGTGTATGGCAGAGCTGAATGATTAAATAGTGGTTTCGAGGCTGCACAATACAGTACATTTGTGATTTTAAGATAAAATAATGACTTTTGGGTGCTTTTGTAATTTTATAGCATTTATTTAAAGTTGGACTCTACAACTTTACTGGTGGAGGGTCCTCTTTTTGCTTGAATCCATCCAAATGTCGTTTTTTTTGCCCGGAATGTTTCACAGTGTGCATCTTCTTCATATCTGTGTCATATCTGTGTAATATCTGTGTTGAGGAATGCCAACCCAATCTGAGAATTCAGGTTTTTGAGCAATAAAAACATCTCCATGGCAACAAGCGGGTAGAGAGATCCCATCAGAAAAGTGGCAGCTTTTAAACACGTTAGCTTAAAAATATAAAATAGGTTCTTTTTCTTAGACTAAATCGCTTTGTTTCATGACTTTCAAAAGAACCTACAATACGGTTTAAAAAAAAAAAAATGATGCATTATTTTAGGGACGTTTTACTTTGTCATTCCGATGTTTTAAATTGATAAAACAAAATCTTACATAGAAAGTTTTAACAATGTTGTAATACGGTAAAAAGCTCAGTCGATCTTTGCATAATATTTCTCTTTTAAATCAGTTATGGTTTTTATTAGATAGCTTGTAGCTAATAATGCTAATGATAGGCTAAATAATGATCATATACGACTGTTTTTTGTGCTGCTTCAATGACAAAACAGCTTGAAACTTGGAATGGATTATTATTATTATTATTATTTTTGGATAGCCACTGGTCTCACTGGTCACTACCCAAAACAGTAGTACTCGTCCGACTCCACCCTGAGCTTGAGAGGGCTTTTACTAAACACATCTCCGTTGATAACAGTCTGGTCCATGTAAGAGCTGAGGTCCGTGGGCGAGGGGTGGTCCGGGAGGTCCTCCAAAGTGTCCAGATACGAGCCCACCGAGATCCCATCCAGATTGTCACTGTTGCCGTCGGTCAGGCTGTTCACGCTGCCCCGTAACGAGCTCCCGTCCTGGCTGTCGGTCAGGCTGTAGAGGCTCCCTGAGAGGCTGCCGTCCTGACTGGCCACGCCCGCCCTGTCCTCCATCACCCAGCGGATGGACTCGATGCCCTCGTTGATGGTCATGAGCTGCTGCATCAGTTTGACGTCGATGGCTCGTAAGTTGGCCTGAAATATAGGAGAAAACAAGTGGATTTATGAATGGGGCCAATTGGGGTTTTATCAATCAATCAATCTACTTGTATTTGTAGAGCGCCTTTACTACTGTACACAAGGCAACACAAAACGCCCCACAACGCACATTTCATCCAAGCCTAAATCATACACATTAAAATCTACATATACATTAAAAAATACGATTAAAACCAATATAAAAACATAGAGAATAAAAACACACAAGTAAGAGAAGACCTGAAAACATTAAAATCATACACAGGATAGCCACAGTGCATAAAGATATAATTCTTGGAAAATGGAATGTATACTGTGTCAAAAGTTTAGAGGTGGACACATTTTTTCTCTAGCTTGATTATTGACATTAAAATGGAGAGACAGAATTGTTCTTTCTCCTAAAGTTTTGGAGGAAAAAGTTGAGCAAGGGACAGATGGCCTTTGCCTCTCACAATGTTTGGTTTCAATATGCACAGTTTGTTTGAATAAGTTTGCTCAAGTCTGTGCGCAAATATGCAACTATTTTTAACAAGAAAAACAGAATTTAATCAAAAATCTAGATCGATATAAGGATTTATTTTTCAAATCTTCCCGCAGATCGTCCAGTCCTAGTGCCAAGGCAAGTTTATTTTTGTTGCATAATTCATACACAAGGTAACTCGATTTGCTTCACAAAACAAGACTGGAAAAATACAAAAACGCAAAGAATCATGGTACATTAAAAACATAGTGTTTTTGTCCAGGATTTGAACAGAGTCGAAGCTTGTCATTGTTTAGTCCTGACTCTGGGACCATCAGGAGGCCAGTCCCTGTGCTCATCAGGTCCCATCAGGAGGCCAGTCCCTGTGCTCCTCAGAGTCCCATCAGGAGGCCAGTCCCTGTGCTCCTCAGAGTCCCATCAGGAGGCCAGTCCCTGTGCTCCTCAGAGTCCCATCAGGAGGCCAGTCCCTGTGCTCATCAGGTCCCATCAGGAGGCCTGTCCCTATGCTCATCAGAGTCCCAGCAGGAGGCCAGTCCCTGTGCTCATCAGAGTCCCAGCAGGAGGCCAGTCCCTGTGCTCATCAGGTCCCATCAGGAGGCCTGTCCCTATGCTCATCAGAGTCCCAGCAGGAGGCCAGTCCCTGTGCTCCTCAGAGTCCCATCAAGAGAACCAGTTCCTGTGCTCATCAGAGTCCCATCAAGAGAACCAGTCCCTGTGCTCATCAGAGTCCCAGCAGGAGACCAGTCCCTGTGCTCCCCAGAGTCCCAGCAGGAGACCAGTCCCTGTGCTCATCAGAGTTCCAGCAGGAGGCCAGTCCCTGTGCTCATCAGAGTCCCATCAGGAGGCCAGTCCCTGTGCTCATCAGGTCCCATCAGGAGGCCAGTCCCTGTGCTCATCAGGTCCCATCTTTCTTTGTGGTTTCTTTGTCTAACCAGAAAGTAACAATAAACACATACAACAATAGAAAGCAAGGCCAGATGAGTCAAAGCTTAAACAGTGAAATGAGTATTCTGACCGGCCATTTGAGTTGTGAATATCTGTATGAACGATGGATTTAATGTGTTATGTTGTAAGGGTGAGCAATATTGTCTTTCTTGCAGAATTTGCCGTCCGTCATGACAATAATATTCTTGTGTGCTGGTTGCTTTGAAACTAATAACAAAAGTGAAGATATATTAAGTGAATAAGCATGATTGACAGACTCATCCTGCATGTTTTAACAGACTATTAACTGTATTAGATAGATGGATGGAAATACTTTATTGATCCCAGTAGGAGAAATTCACGATTACACTTAAAACTGTGCCGATCCCCAAAACAACCATATACTGTAACTCCCACTTCTATTGCCAGGTTTTCTAAAATGTCCAACTAAAAATATGCACGATAAAAAAAGGACAAAGAACAAAACAATATCAAAATGTATGCACAAAATTGTAAAGTGGCGTGATTCTACCATCAGATCATTCCAAAATAAATACGGGCTGTGTAATCTCATAATAAACCAATGGACAAATGTCAACGGCACTTTGCAGCACTACACAAACAAGAATAAACCAGCATTATTGCCATTGTATTTTCCCTTAAAAAGCTCAATACCTCTTCATAAGTATTCATTCATGCATGCTTTCTATAGGGATGAAATTTCAAATGAAAAAACCCAAATGCAAATCACACAACTCGACATAATGTTAGCATTCTTTTCACGTTTCCCGCTACACAATGGACGTCTTCTTCCATCACCAACAAAGGGAACAGGAACTTGTATTATGTCCGTGGTAAAGGAGCTGTCAGGAAGCATGCGTCCGATATTCAGAATGATTTGTGGCGTATCTATCTACACACAGTGCGAGCATTGACTCCGGTCTGCCATGACAACTGTTGCATTTAGGAGGAGGAAATGACCAGCTCAAAGGGAATCCCAGAAAGCCCAAGAGACTCACACACACACACACACATGCTTAGTCAGGGTGAAGAATGAGCAAAGAAACAGCTGCGGCAAACCTGTTCCTGTCAAATGATATTGTAATGGGAGTGTGTGTGTGTGTGTGTGTTGTTCCAGACAGCTGCCTTGGCCAAACTGACTTTTGTTTGGGGTTGGAACGCCTGCTGTATACACACATACACACACACGCACACACACAAAGGCAAAGCAGACTATCAGATCAGATTGCTGTGTAAAGTTGAAATTACATAAGAAAAATAATAATAAAGAAAGAAAGGGTCACAAGTTATTTTTAAATTGAGTAAATACAATTAGTGAGGTGTCATTTAGCCTTTGCTTTGTCATTGTGTGCTTTGGACTATAAGCTACTTGTGCAAATATTATACCAGTGAAATGACTCACAATATAGAGTCGAGTTCGGAGCAAGAGTAACCCTTTAGGAGTGGATTCGAGTCATGCAAAAAACCTGATATATATAGAATTTTTTATTTGTCAATTGAATTTTTTTTTGTCAATTGTAGGGAAGCAATATTGATCCTAGATTCAAAAATAGTCTTCAAAAAATAAACTTCAAAAAGTCTACTGGTTAATTAACATTGTGTGGGATGATGTTAATGCAGGTCCTTACTTTGGTACCGTTGGTTTCGTCAGTGAGTGAGTAAGTAAGTAGCTATGCAAAATATGCTCGGTATGTATGTTTGGGCACGTCAATGAATGCATGAGTTGGATTTTGATTCATATATTGATTGATAAATGAATGAATGCACGCCTACATGTCATCGCAAAAGGGTGTTTTAATGCCAGTCTAGGGAGCATTCACACTTGTTGGTCTGGTTCCCTTTAACTGTTGAGCAAGCAAACGCGTGTCCACTAGTGTGTTTACATCTCTTCAAGCAGATCTGTGAAGCACGTTCCCCCCAAGATAAAGTGGACCAAACCTGTGTGAACGTGCCCTCCAATTAGACAAGGATCCAAGCATAAATATCTCGTCTAAAAGTACTACTAATGTACTACTGAACCTGGAGATTATGGTTTTCCTTTAGGATTCATAAAGTTTATCCTATAGGCAAAGTAAAGTGTATTATTATAGGGCAGTTCATGCACTAGGCAACCCAAACTGCTACACAAGAACTCCCAGAGCAGTCAGTTTGATGGCTTTTCATTATGGGAGTGCTAGTTACCATAGCAACACACTGTTTACTTACAGCAGTGAGCATTTAGTTTTTCTATATTTCATTTATATCAATCAGTTTAGCACGTATTAAACACAAAAGCCGAATTACTAACTACTTATTAAGAGTAGTGAAAACTTAAAACTGTAGAATTCCAATAATTTGAACGGTAGCCGTCAAAATGACTGCTCTGAGGGAAGTAGTTTCTGAATTCTGTGAGTCCCAGTATGAACAAAACAAGAAAATACACATAGAATCACCGGAGCATAAACAAATATTTATCTCCTATGAAAGTTTATAAGCAATAGAGTAAACGTGCTTTAATCCCACGTACTTTCTGCACATGCGCACTGCTTGACACAAACTGTCAAGTAGAAGATCCACCTTACGCGTGAACTTGGTGACCAGAAAAAGGGATAATGGTGCTTGAGAAACTCGGTCAACTTCGCCATCTGCTCAGTCATCTTCCTAATACCTGGCTAGAGCTATAAATACACACTGCACCATACGGCCATTCAACTCCACAGAACAACACGTACGCGTATTAAGCCCATTACTCGCGTGATGGCCATTAACATGAGACAAGACTGTGGCTTTGGAATGACAAAGAGGAGAAGCGCGCTGGGGATGGACAAGAGACGTGTCCAGGGGCAGGTGTGAATGACCGAGACTCCAGCCAACATCCCATTTCTGCAATTTGCAACTACTTGTAAACGTTTCCTCGCTTTTCACACAAAGACATGAGAGATTTACAAAGTGTTACAACTTGCTAATTAAGCACGAAAGGAACACTAAAGCATGTGTTATTATTATCACAGACTGAAGAAAGTCTATGGCTATTACGCACGTATGCGCCATAACACATACCCGTGCCATGCATTTCAATTCTATACACGCTTTGATAGTTTACTCACCATTTCTTGTTTCAGAAGTAACATCTTGCCCTCTAGGCGTTTAAAGTCTGCAGATTTGGCGCAGAACTTGGCCGAACGCAGCGTCTTGTCGTGTTTGTCGTGGTGTTTCCCCCCGACCAGCGAGCGCACAAGACTGTCTGGCACTTTCCGTCCCAACTTCGTCTCCAAATCTTTCAACTCTGGCAAAACGCTGCTGTCTTCGTCCATGGCTTGACGCGCACTGGTAAAGGCTGGTTACAAGTGGCGTTTCTCCCCCCAGCAGTAGAATAGTTGCGAGTGAGTTGTTGATTGAAGGAGAAAAATTACGCGCGGTGCGTTCTTGTACTTTTCATTCAACTCTCTGACAGAACAATGCGTTATAGCGAGTCAAAACACTAAACCATTTGGCATTACCTCATCCCCGACCTCCCACTGGAGCTTTTGCCCAGTAGCTTTGCTGTTTAACCACCACGCGCTCCGTGCAGGCCGCGCCCACCGACGTACGTGCCTTTGAAACCAGACACTGACCGGCGTGTCCGGAGGAGAGACGCACCGCACACCGTTTAGTAGCAAAGCATTTAAATAACATGAGACAAAAAAGAGGCATTATTACAGAAAAATGAGGCGCGAAGTATCGGATAAGCAAGTTTTTTGTTGAGTTTTTCCCATGACAAAAAAGTAGTGTTAAAAGAATAGAGTTGGCAAAAGTATTATTTTTAAGTGCTTAAAGTATAGAAAGTATTGAAACCATACTCTCTAAACTTTTTGAACAAAACTCTCTGGTCTTATTTGATAAGCTCGTATCACCAGAATGATTGACAATTGGGAGGACCAATAATCTTGATGATCCACCCGGAAGTGTAAAATCCTCCTATACCTTTAAGTGTGAGGGTACAAGAAGGCTTTTGTATGTACTCGAGTAAAAGACATTTTGTTGAGTAATTGTTGGACTACACAAGATAATAAAAGAACCATTTTACATTTATTTTTTACATTTTTAAGAATTGCCTTTAAAACAGGTAAACAGCATTTTGCATTGACGTTGACATTTTATATAGAGAATAAAACCTGATTATGTTATCTGAACTTAGAAGCGTGGCTAACGTCCGCAAATTAATTGACTTAGAAGCATGGCGAATGACAAATGTGGTGTTTATATAATATTGTGTTTCCACCTGCAGAGTAAGTCATTTCAAAATGTAAGCAGTAGTTATGTTTAAAGGTATAGGCTAAGAAGTACAGTAAAAAAGTTGAAAATGAAATTGAGTACATTAAGATAAAAATACTTAGTTACTTGCATCTCTGAAAAGGAGGAGTAAACAAAGATACAGTGCAAACATGTTATAAGCGGTTTATAAATACAAAATAATAATATCAAATTAGGCACACAAAAAACAGACATGTTCTCTCTGACGATCCAAATATTGTAGTAGTGCGCCCCCTAGAGGATGCTAAGGTTCTGTCATAATGTTTTTTTTTTTACAGAATGATTTCCACTCACTTAAATCAAATCGCTGTGTCATCTAGATGTAAAGACACACATATATTCTATCAGCACTAAACTCACCCAGTGTGGACTCGAGATCTGGTCGGAACCTCACACTTGCGCTCTCTGGTGGCCACTCACTGAAATTGCGTTTTTATTCTTCAACTACCAGTATAAGCCATCAAATAATCTAAACACGAATAACTATTTTACAACAGTGTATAAATAAGATCATTTTGACTTTTGATGCAAGTGACATGTACAGCACAAGTATTTTAAAGGCAGTTTTAAACAACAGATTGGCTTTTGTCGTCATCATATCTCTGGTACTGATCCACAAGCAGAGGCTGGTGGCCTTCTCTCCTGGACTTGGCCCGGACTGCACACGTAGTGGCAGCGAAGACAACCGCCACCACCACCAGGGCGGCGACGATGGTCATAGTGATGATTTCAGTCACGGTGAAAGGTTGAGCTGGACAAAAGAAAAATGATATGAACTACTGTATTTTGCACATAACTTCTGTACAAAGGCAATTCACTAATAGTAAGTAGTTTCTGGACTATAAGGCAGACCTGTATTTAAGCCGGACCACCTAAATCTGAAAGAAAACCAATTTTGTTCATAAATAAGCCGCACTTGACGATAAGCCACAGGTTTTCATGTTGTAATGTAGCAGATAGATGACTGTTTTAACTGGTTACAACATGATTTAATGGCACTAACAGCTTAATCGTTAGCTTCCATGTCAGGACTCATTCACCAGTCTATTTTGACAGTAAACAAGTGTCCTATAGGTAATATAACCTGATAGAGTCAAAATGATAAGTTCTTAAACTCTGCTCTCACTTTACCACAATAGAAATATACATATTAGCCGCACTGCTATATAAAGTTTCAAGTATCTAGAAAAAGTAGCGGGTTATATTCTGGAAATGAAGGTACAATGGTGCCTTCATTTCATATGAAATCACGATGACTTACAATGTTATCTCATCTATTTTTAGTTTCATTACAGTTGTTAAATCACTACCTGGCCATTCAGCTGCATAACTGTATCCCAGATTATCCTGAGCAGTAACAAACATCTCGGCGTTGGTCACGGGAGGCCAGAAAGGAACCATGTTGTAACCTCTGTTGTGTCCAATGGGAGCGTTTTCATCCGGATACACGGCTGAATCTGTGACCATACATAAACAAATGCTATGAGAAAGCAGACAAAGTGAGAGATGTGGAAAGAACAAGACATCCGTTATTGTCAGGGCTTTTACATAAAAATGAATGCTGTGTGTGTGGTGGTGGTTTGGGGGATCACATGGAAAGTGCAATATCACATCACATGATTCCTCCAGCCTCCTCAAAAGGACTTTTGATGGTTCATTTCATAATCCACACAAACAGGCTTATCTCTGAGTTGAACGTGTATTGTGATATTTTTCTGATCTTTTTAGTTTTTCTTTTGTTTTTGCTCTGCTTGGAATCTACCTTAGTATGATATAAAACGTGTATGTTTTCGAGCAAAAGAACAGTTCGACGGCCCCAAGATGATCATGGCACTTAGATCATTGTTGGTGATTTGTATAGAGCTTCAGAGTATTCGAGGTTATAGCTTCTGCATGTGACAGACTTTTTGCTCTCTGCCGGTTATCATGGCTTAATAATACATGTCCTAATACATTCCTGAGAAACTAAGCAAAAAAGTGGCCAGTTTTCACCAAAATCAAAATGCGCAGATTGAGCCTATCGCTTTTCTGATCCTGAAACATTCTGGGTTAAAAGGCTTGTGTGAGACTGCCCCCTAGTGGTAAAACATATATACATAGATTACCTGTTTTTTTACGTGCATGCCTTGGTAAATTGTCATAAATGTGTTTTCCGCTTCCTATTTTCGGATCTAGTCATCACAGAGCATTGTCTGTCACAGAATCGCAACTAAGGTGTATTCAAGCTCCTTTATTTTGTTATACAGACCAAGAAGCTAAAAAGTAGTACATTATTTAATCTGTTAAGTGTCTGTCTTTATCTTATTAACCATCCTGTGCTTGCATTTGAGTCATTGATAAAGTATAAATAAAGCAATTAATAAATATTATGTTTTAGGAACTCAAGTTAAGCTCAGGACGTTTACCTAGGACGCTTACAACTGGATATTAACTACTGTGTGTCAATGGCATTTCATACACAACAATAAAGTCAAATAATTAGGTTATTTTTTTCTGGAAGCACACCTGGGCTGTGTCGTCGTAACCACTCGTCAAAGATGGCGTCCGTGTAGGTGTGAAGCAGGACGAAGATGGGGTCGTTGGGCGAGAGGTGGGTCTGCCCTCCGGTCCCGTTCAGGAACAGGTGAGCCAGGTTGTGGAGGCTCCTCACTGCTGGGTCGTAGTTTCCTTGGGGCGCGCTGTAACCTGTCAAACACATCACACACAATTGTTAAACCAGATCATAAACCGAAGGAGTGGACTGACCGAGTACTGATGGGAAAAAGCCGGTTAGGGCTAGCTCCAACAGGCTTTTTAGCGATGGGATCTGGAGTCAAATTCATGAACTTTTGTGGGTAGCAACGACTGAGCAACCAAAGAGCCAATCAGGGTCTTTCCCGCCTACATTGCTTGCTTAATTTTAAGGAACAGAAGGCACCTGATTGGTCCGTTTTAGGGAGCTTACAATCTGGGTCTACAAATACGTTATGAAATGTCTATTGTGTGTGCTTAGAGTTACCACTATTTTCAAGTGAACGGAGAAGTGTTTTGTAACTGATTGTAACTGATTGTTGTATGCATGGTTTTGACTATTTTTACTCTTACAACTTGTTTGTACCTTAAGCCAAAGCAAATTCCTCATGTGTGACTTCCTGTTCCTCAAAATGGCCAAAAAAATATATCATTCTGATCTAACTATAAACGCCAGGATCACAGAGAGCGCTGAACTATAGATTTTCAAGCCCTTAACAGTGTGTGTGCCACAAACAGTTACAGAGCCAGAGGATTTTTATTTTAAAATGCAAGTTTAGTTCAGTTTACTTATACTTCAATGTCCCCATAGAGACATTTGTCCTCAGATTCAACTGATTCATCAAATGAACTACAAGCAGACACTGTCCCATGTGGGTTGGGAATAGTGTTAGGACTAGGGTTAGGGTTAAAATTAGGGTTAGGTTTTATGTAGGGTTAGGACTAGGGTTTGGGTTAGCATTTAATTAGCTGTTAATTAGGGAGGGCTAATCTAAATTGCTACCGGTCAATAGCAGCCATTTCCCTTATCTATTGTATTGCTGATGGAGAAAACACCAAACGTTTTAAGTACCTTCCACAGAGTTCCTGAAGCTCTCGTCGGAGGTAGAGTAGTAGGGGGCCGTGTCAAACGTGTTGACCTGGAGACACGCAGCCACGTCCTGGGGCTCGGGGAGGCGCTGCACCATGGGGCGGTTCACGTTCCCTGCTGGGTTTCTCCTGATGGGGGAAGACTCTGTGCCTGAAGGAGGAAAAAAAAGGAAAACAACAGTTCCCTGAAGTCGTCTGCAAAGGATTTCAAGAAGCGACGTGCAGAGAATTCTAGATATTGTTGGAGGAATCTATTCTGAAACACAAAGTCAATGTTTTTTTTATTGATTGACCAACTGATTACACTTCAGTTGGTGTGTGTGACGTCAGCTGGTGTGTGTGACGTCAGTTGGTGTGTGTGACGTCAGTTGGTGTGCGTGACGTCAGTTGGTGTGTGTGACGTCAGTTGGTGTGCGTGACGTGAGTTGGTGTGTGTGACGTCAGTTGGTGTGTGTGACGTCAGTTGGTGTGCGTGACGTGAGTTGGTGTGTGTGACTTCAGTTGGTGTGTGTGACGTCAGTTGGTGTGCGTGACGTCAGTTGGTGTGTGTGACGTCAGTTGGTGTGCGTGACGTCAGTTGGTGTGTGTGACGTCAGTTGGTGTGCGTGACGTGAGTTGGTGTGTGTGACTTCAGTTGGTGTGTGTGACGTCAGTTGGTGTGCGTGACGTCAGTTGGTGTGTGTGACTTCAGTTGGTGTGTGTGACGTCAGTTGGTGTGCGTGACGTCAGTTGGTGTGTGTGACGTCAGTTGGTGTGCGTGACGTCAGTTGGTGTGTGTGACGTCAGTTGGTGTGCGTGACGTGAGTTGGTGTGTGTGACTTCAGTTGGTGTGTGTGACGTCAGTTGGTGTGCGTGACGTCAGTTGGTGTGTGTGACGTCAGTTGGTGTGCGTGACGTGAGTTGGTGTGTGTGACTTCAGTTGGTGTGTGTGACGTCAGTTGGTGCGTGTGACGTCAGTTGGTGCGTGTGACTTCAGTTGGTGTGTGTGACGTCAGCTGGTGTGTGTGACGTCAGTTGGTGTGTGTGACGTCAGTTGGTGCGTGTTTAAGTTTAAGTTTAAGTTTATTAAGGAAAGCCCCTTGAGATGAATCATCTCATTTTCGAGGGGGTCCTAAACATAAATACAAACATATAAACAAACACACATACACAAAAAGCAATTTACAGCGAATTAAAGATGAGAAAAGTTAATTAAACACACACAAAGACAAACAAAACAAACAACAACAAAATATAACAAAACAAATGCTCCATCGCACCCCACTCCTCCCCTCTGCTGAAATTAAACATATAGGAAAGAGAAAAAACAACAGTTCCCTGAAGTCGTCTGCAAAGGATTTCAAGAAGCGACGTGCAGAGAATTCTAGATATTGTTGGAGGAATCTATTCTGAAACACAAAGTCAATGTTTTTTTTATTGAGAAAAAATGTTAAAAGGAGAAAACTTTGTACATTTGTGTTGGGTGTGTGAGACGTGGAACAGACAACATCCCTCGCACTTCATACTTTATAGAGCAACTAAACACCAAATCAACTTTTTAAAACTCATAAACTGAATAAATATGTTTATTGTAGTGCTCTCTACATGTCCTGGTCATTTTTTTTGACATTTTAGTACAAATTAGATAAAATCTCACTTTTGAGCCTAAAAACGTCTGTGTGGCGCCCTCTAAACCTTTTTGGTGGTACTACATTTGAATTTGGTCCTGGCCTCTCATTGGCTCTGTAATACTGTGTGACGTCAGTTGGTGTGTGTGACGTCAGTTGGTGTGTGTGACGTCAGTTGGTGTGTGTGAGGTCAGTTGGTATGTGTGACGTCAGTTGGTGTGTGTGACGTCAGTTGGTGTGTGTGACGTCAGTTGGTGTGTGTGACGTCAGTTGGTGCATGTGACGTCAGTTGGTGTGTGTGACGTCAGTTGGTGTGTGTGACGTCAGTTGGTGTGTGTGATGTCAGTTGGTGTGTGTGACGTGAGTTGGTGAGTGTGACGTCAGTTGGTGTGTGTGACGTCAGTTGGTGTGTGTGACTTCAGTTGGTTGTCAGTTGGTATGTGTGACGTCAGTTGGTGTGTGTGACGTCAGTTGGTGTGTGTGACGTCAGTTGGTGTGTGTGACGTCAGTTGGTGTGTGTGAGGTCAGTTGGTGTGTGTGAGGTCAGTTGGTGTGTGTGACGTCAGTTGGTGCGTGTGACGTCAGTTGGTGTGTGTGATGTCAGTTGGTGTGTGTGACGTCAGTTGGTGTGTGTGACGTGAGTTGGTGTGTGTGACTTCAGTTGGTGTGTGTGACGTCAGTTGGTGTGTGTGACGTCAGTTGGTGTGTGTGACGTCAGTTGGTGCGTGTGACTTCAGTTGGTGTGTGTGACGTCAGCTGGTGTGTGTGACGTCAGTTGGTGTGTGTGACGTCAGTTGGTGTGTGTGACGTCAGTTGGTGCGTGTTTAAGTTTAAGTTTAAGTTTATTAAGGAAAGCCCCTTGAGATGAATCATCTCATTTTCGAGGGGGTCCTAAACATAAATACAAACATATAAACAAACACACATACACAAAAAGCAATTTACAGCGAATTAAAGATGAGAAAAGTTAATTAAACACACACAAAGACAAACAAAACAAACAACAACAAAATATAACAAAACAAATGCTCCATCGCACCCCACTCCTCCCCTCTGCTGAAATTAAACATATAGGAAAGAGAAAAAAATAAAATAAAATAAGTAAAACTATTAACAATAATGACACAGAGCATTAGTGACATAAAAAAGGAGTTACAAGAAACCTAAATAATTCAAACTTAAATAAACCAACAGACAGAATGGATCTTATGGATGCGGGGAGTTTATTCCAGTCTGATGGAGCCTTATATTGAAATGATCTGCGTCCAACTTCTTTAAAAACTCTTGGAACAGAAAAGGTGAGACAATCAGAGCTTCGGAGTGAAAAAGGTGTAGAGAAGGGGACAAAAAACTGTTTTAAATACTGCGGACAACTAAAATGAATAAATTTAAATAATAAGTGCATCCAGTGAAGGTGACGTCTGTTGTGAGGTTGAAGCCAGTGAAGGTTCTCGTACAGAGTGCAGTGATGTGTGTGATATGGACATTTGAGAATCTACAAAGACAGTTAAAAAGTGTATTGAGTGGTTTGAGATGGGTGTGAAATGTGTTTTGATAAATGACGTCAGCGTAATCGATGATGGGGAAAACCAGTTGTGTAATGATGCGTTTTCTGACATTGAGGGTAAAGCAGTGGGATGATCGGAATAAAGGGCCCATTGTGGCGTAAGTTCTTTTGATGATGGAGTTGATGTGGTGTTTGAAGTTAAGTTCGGGGTCTAGCCAGAGGCCGAGATATTTGATTGTGTCTGCATTGAGCATTTTGGAACCGACGTTAAAGTGAATATGGAGATCTGGGGAGTGGAGTAATTTGTGATGAGAGCCAAACAGTATACAGCAAGATTTTTTCATGTTTAAAATGAATTTATTGTTTGAAAGCCAGGTTTGTATGGAGTTAAAATCGATTTGCAATAGATTTTGGAGAGATGTGATGTCAGAGTTTGAATTGTAAATAACGGTGTCATCGGCGTAGATATTTATGGAGCAGTTGGAAATGACGTTAGGGAGATCATTAATAAAAATGGAAAAAAGAAGGGGGCCTAATGTGGAACCCTGTGGAACACCTTTTCCAACTACAGTTCTCCCCGATTGTGCACCATGTGAAACAACATATTGAAATCGACAGTGAAGATATGAATTGAACCAGAGAATAGCGTTTCTGTCGAGGCCTATTGCGTAGAGTTTGTCAAGTAATAAATAGTGGTCAACGAGATCAAAGGCTTTGGACAGATCTAGAAATATAGAGCCCACAAACATATTTTTATCAAAAGAACAGAAAACATCATTCGTGAATTTTAATAAAGCAGTAGTTGTAGAAAACCCTGAACGAAAACCAGACTGAAAAGGAGAAAGTATATTGAACTCATTCATGTAATGATTTAACTGTTGGAATATAATTTTTTCAAAAAGCTTAGCAGCTGCGCAGATGATGGATATTGGCCTGTAGTTGTTCAGGTCTGAGGGATCGCCTCCTTTGAAAACAGGAGTGACTGGCAGTTTTAAAAACTGATGGAATTGTTGAGGTTTTTATTGACAGATTAAAGAGGTCGGATAAAGGAAACATAAGGACGTGAGCAGCAATTTTCAGAAACTTAACTTCAAGATTGTCTGGACCAGCTCCGCAGTTTGGTTTTAATTCATTTAAACAAGTAAAAACAGTAAGTGGAGATATTTTTGAGAACGAGAAAGAGGGATCAGCACGAGATGTATTTTGGCAATCACCAGACACAGAGTTGTTAGGGATTATTCTGTTTATGAAAGAGAAATGTTCGTTAAATGCTTGAGATATTTTGATTGGATCTGATATATTTTCATTGTTCACTACAACATGTTCAGTCAGTTTATTTTTAGATTTGTTTAAAACCAGATCAAGTTGGGCCCAGAATTTTTTTGGGTTGTTCATGTTTTGAGCAAACCCCTCTTTGAAATATTCAGATTTGGAGTTCCTTGTTTGTGTTGTGCAGTGATTTCTGAGTGATTTGTAAGTTTCCCAATCAATCGGATGTTTTGTTTGTTTGTGTTTTTCCCATGCTGCGTCCCTTTTTCTGCAGAGAAGAAGAAGAGCGGGGCTGATCCAGGGCAGGTGTCGACCTTTTACATGAAGCGTTTTGAAAGGGGCGTGTTTGTTGATAATATTGGTGAATTCAGAGTGAAAATAGTTCCACGCGTCCTCAGCATTTAGAATGAGTTGAAACCGGTCCCAGTTAATATTTAATACATCATTAATAAATATTTCTGCATTCAGATTCTTGGTTTGTCTAAATGTGATAGTTTTTGGGGGAGCTTTGGGAAGTTTTATTTTCCAGACACAGAATACAATGGAATGATCGCTGAAGCAGTCGGCCATGACACCAGAAGAGGAGATTCTGTCTGGGTGGGTTACCAGGATCCAATCCAGTAGTGAGGAGGAACGTGCATCTATTCGAGTAGGTTCAGTGATAAGTTGGGTCAGATTAACGCTATTAATAAGATTTCTTTCTCTTGAGGATGAGCAGTGGAGCCAGTTACTGTTGAAGTCACCCAAGATGATCATTTCATTACGTTTTTTTAAATGAACTAATTGTAGAGAGTATATCTTTCATAGAGTCAGCCGGAGCAGATGGGGGCCTATAGACGTGTGACGTCAGTTGGTGTGTGTGACGTCAGTTGGTGTGTGTGACGTCAGTTGGTGTGTGTGACGTCAGTTGGTTTGTGTGACGTCAGTTGGTGTATGTGACGTCAGTTGGTGTATGTGACGTCAGTTGGTGTGTGTCACGTCAGTTCCAGGCAACGCCCTTTTTAGAGACAATGTTCAAATGTTCATGTGGGCGGAGTCAGGCTGGTCATGGAGCTTTCGCAAAAGTTCACTGGGGTAGACCCGGCCGCGGCTGCCCAGATCTACAAGCCTGCTCATCCTCGGCTCATCATACCAGCAACGCCCACATCCAATCAACCAATAACCACCAGGACAGCAAGTTAAAAGCCGGAGACGCCCACTTCCCGGCCTTCTGAAGTTTGCAAAGCCTCCGCCGCCCCACCTCCTCCTTTTCTCATCGAAGCGTGCTTACCTACTGCCTCTGCCGCCACCAGTGCCTAGGCCCCGGGGGGGATTATGCGCGCGAGCAAGCGCCGCGCTCAACAGCATCTCTCCCGGGCCTAGGGCGCCAAACATACTTAATCTAATAAACTTCTAACTGCATTTTCCCTCGTGGGTCTCTCCATGGTGAAACAGGTGTTTAGTCGCTCTCTAAGTTTAAGTTTTACATTATTAAGTATTATGTAAGAAAAGCCCCTTGAGATTATTTGTTTCATATTTGAGAGGGTCCTAAACATAAATACAAACATACATACATAACAATTTACAAAGCATTAAGGATAAGAAAAGATAATTACATAAATACACAAATAATAATAACAAATATATAAATTATAATAATGATATATATTTTTGAAATGCTCCTTTGCACCTCACTCCTCCCCTCTGCTAAAATTAAACTCTTGCATTGACCTGTGTTTTATCACATCAAACATGAGGAAAGCTTCATACATTTGCATGTCATCCTTGCACAGGCGCCATGCTCATCTAAACGCAAATTTGTAAAGTATTCCTCATTGTTCTTGATGTTGTAATAATAAACAGGTGGATGCAAATATAGTTATAATTCAAAATATGCTTTCATATTTACTGAGATCTCACTTAGTCCTATCCTATCTCCTCCGTCCTTATGTGTATTTGTATACATAAGTACAAAGTCAAAGCTTTTAGCGGGAATATTAGTGTAGTTTTGATTTCTATAATACAGTACTAAGATTAGTGAGTGAGTGTTTTTTATAAATATATTTTTAAAGCAGATATTTGTCTGTATTCCCACTGTGTAATGTGCATTGCAACTCTGGAATGAATAACATATTACTTTGTCCTTTTATATAATGATCGTGTTGTGTCAGAAGTCCGGGACAATCAAAAGGAGACAAGCAAAATGAAACACAATAGACCTACAGTGGGATGAAGAGAGAGTGATTGAATATTACTGGGCCTCTACCATACAGGAAATAGGGCTGGGCCAAAAATTGCCAACTTTAATGCAATTATGGAGACATTAGTAAAAAATGTGCAACACCAATTCGGGCGTTCTGCTCTCCCAAAATTCCATCCGATGGGCGGGGGAGCGACTGAATTTTGCGTTGCATTATGGGTAACACTTGCCTTCGCAACTTCCGGTTCTCTCTGCCCGGCGCATTTTCTCTAAATGGTTGAGTGTTTTCGTCATTTTACATTATGCAAATACATTCCCGTCTCTAACTAGTGGCATATCGCGCAAATCATCCGTCTTTCCCTCTTAGCTGAACTTCATTCTCATTGTTACCATCTGTCACTCGCACACACAGCCGTTTTCGTTCACTCTGCTCGCTGTCATCTTCTTCTAAATCTTCATAAACACCATCCGCTCGTTGAACTAGCAACAACAATTCCTCCTTTCGTTTTCCCACACTGCAAATACCCTTTCGCTTCAACCTTTCACGCAATTCAGGCACTGTCAATCGTTTGTTGTTTTCGTGAGCCATATTCGCCATTGTATGAAATCAACCGGAAGTGAACTGGGCAACAAACGGTGTCAATTTTTGATCACAGCGCCGCTCAGTGGATGAAATTTTGGGAGAGCAGAACGCCCGAATTTTGGGGCGGCTAACATGCAAAGTGCTGTTTCCATGACTGAATTAGTATTACGCAGATTTTGAGCTGTTTGTCCATAAAAAAACAATATTGTATTTGTCATACCAGTACAAATTTAAAATCAACTCATCATAAATCAAGATGGGGGGGTCAACATGAGACTGATTGTCCGGCCCTAACGACTGGAGAAGAAGAGACCTACTGTTGCAAATGGTTCCCAGTGTGTCATAATCCTCCACACTCTCACAGATCACTCTCCAGGACGAGAACACAGAGTTTGTGCTGAGAGAGTTCATGTCAAAGCTGCTGCGGGCGCCCATCAGGTCATCAGTGCAGATGTCACATGTGCTGCCCCCGATGGCGAAGTCCCAGTAAGGCAGGGCGAAGGAGGGGTCCTGCAGCATGTCCTGGGGTAAGAAAAAAAAAACATATTATTTTGAAAGTATGAAGAATTTGTTCTTTATTCTTCTTAGTCCACAAGCAAATACTTAAGACACTACATAGTAATGAAACAAAATGAAAGTATTCTTGACAAACAGGGGAAGTATAAGACCAGTGAAGAATTATTATTGGCCGATATGAAAATTGAACACTTACGAAATGGGTTTTTATGTTTGATATGTCAAAATCTGTTGTAAACAATGATTTGTGTATACATTTGTCAATTTTGCAACACACACCAGCGGCCCATGCAGATTGGGAGCCACTGCTATTATAAGTTGTGTGATATAATCTAAATGAACAACAAGTGCGTACAAATTGTGTCATTTTACAAATTCGCTATGCAATTTTTACGCACTGATTGGTGATAATGTTTGTGCCTCGTGGCTGCTGTTATCTGAGACGTTGATCCAATCTACCCACCAGCCTTTGCAGATCCCATTATCCACACTCATGCCCGTTTCATCACATCCAGAGTCAGACTTTTTCTCTCTGTATCTCCTGTTGTTATATACTTGAACTGTAGTCTATTCATTGTTATTCACCTACAGTATTGTCCCATTGTCTGTTTTATGGCGCAATGATGGGAACCTGGAAACTTCCTGGTCTGGACCCGTGGGCCACTCCCCTCCCTCTGCTTACGCTCTCCCTACCCTCAGCGAGCCGAGTGACTACGGCTTTAACAGACCTGAATTTCTCTTACAGGGGATCAATAAAGTATCTACAGTGCAGACCAAAAGTTTGGACACACCCTCTCATTCAAAAGTTTTTTTTATTTTCATGATTATGCAAATTGTAGATCCACGCTGAAGGCAACCAAACTATGAATTAACTCATGTATGTACGTACTGAATAAAAAAATAATGAATCAACTGAAAATATGTATTATATTTTGGTTCTTCAAAGTAGCACCTTTTGCTCTGATCCTGCTTCTCACACTCTTGGCATTCTCTGGATGAGCTTCAAGAGGACCTGCAATGGTCTTCAACAGTCTTGAAGGAGTTCCCATGATGCTTTGCACTTGTTGGCCCCTTCACTCTGTGGTCCAGCTCACCCCAAAACCATCTGGACTGGGTTCAGGTCCGGTGACTGTGGAGGTCATGTGGCCCAGCACCATCACTCTCCTTATTGGTCAAACAGCCCTTACACAGCCTGGTGTGGATTTACAGTCAATAGTCATAAAAAGAAGGGACACTCTTTGAATGAGAAAGTGTGTCCAAACTTTTGGTCTGTACTGTATCTACTAGACTTCAGCTCGGTCCTGGATCTGCAGCATGTCCATTTATAAGGGTGGATCACTCTCTCACGTGGTTCTCCTCAAGGCCTTTATTTCTCCCCCTGAGTGTTCCCTTGCCAATGCAAAAGGTTCTAAGGACAGGGGATGATCTGGGACACTCATGTACATTGCTTTATCCTATTAACCTAAATGTTATATTGTTTCTGTTGGTAAATCAACAAGATACAAGTTATTTGTTTGTTATATTGATATATGTAAAAATATGTATTGGGCAGGTTCGAAAAAAAAAAAAAAAAGTAACATCCTTTGAGACAACGGCTGTTGTGATTGTGGTCTATATAAAAATAAAAGTATTTTATTCGAAGAAGAGTGTCACCTGCATGTCCTGCTCCAGCTGAAGAAGATGAAACCGATGCCACGTGAGGAATCCTGGGCCCTCATGGGAAAAGTCCACTCCTCCAAAACTGGCCTGTCCGGCACCGAGAAACGTCTTGCTGACAGAGTAGTAGTGGCTCCACACAAAGTAGTTGTATATGGTGATGTTCTCAAACTGCATGGTGTTTCCATCAGGGCCGAAGATCTCCTGAAAGCGGCGCATGGCAATGACCAGGTCGGGGTGCACCGTGCGCTTGGCCTGGTCCAGGGCACTCACAAACGCCAGCTTCTCATCCGCACTCAGCTGCATCACGTTTCTTCTTACTGGGATTATTAAAAGATTGATAAGATTTGAGTTAAACAGTGGCACAACAGAGAAGTGAAGACAGTAATGTAGTCACAAAGAATTGGGATGTGACATTTGGTTGGCTAGACAAGTCAAGAATCTTTTTCTACAGGCTCACTACACGCCAACACACCGTTATAAGAAAGACGTGTGCAATAGAATACTAATTGGACTTTCTTTTTTTTCTAAAAGTGCTTAAATCATAAACAATAGAATTAGGCTATTCATAGCAACAATAGTCACAGCTTGGATACCTCACGTTTTCAGTTTCAAATAAAACTTGTGGTTTATCCAACAGATTTATTTTGTCAAAAGGGGTTTTTCATGAACAAATCATACCTCAAAATACTGTCTTCATCTTATTAAAAAGTTGTATCATTAGCATACAAAGAAAGAGCCCCTACAGTCACCATTGGATTGAGGCAAAAATTAATTATACTTCAGCCTAATCCTTTCTGTCACAATTGCGTTTGTAAATCTTTAAACACTACTGACATAAGCTAAATTGTTTTTGTAACCTTGTCCTTTCTTTTTGAATGCCTTTTTTATGTCAAAAAATAAATTTGTATGACCGAATAAACAAACCTACTTACTTACATTTCGCGTTTTGGCCGGGAGCATATTGGCTGAGAGGGAGTGGTCCTTTTTTGAGGCCAAAAATACATGCGTGTGAAAAACTACTGAGATTATAAATTTCTGAGCAAGGAACTATAGAAAATGTATTTATGTTGTGGTTTGAAAGTTAGGGACACCAGCTTTAATAACTACAATAATCACAGAGAACATTATGACGTGCCTTTATGTATTTGTATATAATGTATATGACCTTAACTGAAATAGAATCCATAAAAAACTTGTAAAATTCTAGTTAATAGGCCCATATAGTTCTCACCCTAACGTCCAACCTTTACGCACGAAAGCACCATGGGCACACGCGCTATTTATGTGAAAATAAGCCCAACATCCACATTCCACACTCACCCACAGACACCCGCTGGTCACAGTTGTCTCCCGTGAAGCCGTGCCTGCACCTCCCGCAGTTGAAGCCGCTGAAGTTGCCGTTACACCGACACGTGCTGTTGAAGAAGCGCACGGGCCATCTCTCACGGTCATCGCGTCCATCGTGCGGATACTGGGGGCCGTGGGGACGCGCATCCACCGCTACGGGCACGCACAGTCCTCGGCCTGCGGTGGCTCCACACGGGTCGTTCTCCAGTCCCGCGGGCGTGGGGCAACACCGGCCACTGCGCAGTCCCTCTGGCGTGACGCATTCTCTGGGGAACTGCGCGCTCGCCAAAAGCGCACAGGTGGCCAACAGGAGCAGGGCGCAGCGCAGCATGACACACACACAAGAGGAAGGAATCAACCACAGTTATGTTTTTACTGAGTTTCCTGGAAGATAAAAGGCATCACAGACGGAGTGGTGCGTTTTGGAGGTTGCTTTGTGCTCTGCCCCCCCAAGCAGGAGTGTTTTATAGCGGATTAGCGCATGACTGCCAGGATTGCAGGCCCGCGTGACCCCATCTCATAGAATCATTTTTCTCACTGAGGATCAGAAGCTGCTGCACTATACCAGAAAAAAAGCAAAATCTCCGTGACTTAAAACTGTATAACTATTTTTTTTTTTAAATATGAAACACCAACATTGAAATGAAATTGGATCTAAAGCTATACCTATAACTAAAAAAAAACAAATATTGAAAACAACGAAAGAAACAAAATGGTAGAAATGGGTATAAATAGGGTCTAAAACAGTTTAACCTCCTGAGACCCGAGCATTTGTCTGGTGTGCATTTTATATATTTTTTTGCTATTTAGGATAAGTAGGACCCAATAAGTATAATACCTAAATTGTGATTTTGTACAGGAAGTAGTTTTTGAGAAAAAACATGTCCTCGTATGAGGACAGTGGGTCTCTCATAACCTAAAGAGAAAATGTATGATCTTTTAGGCCGGAAGGTCCTAATTAGTTGAAATTCAAAATTTCAGCTTGATCCAATTAGTACTTCTCTCAAAAATCAATGTCCTCACATGAGGACAGTGGGTCGACCTTACTATACAATACAAATAGACTCCATTGGTCTAAAATAGTATATAACAGTTTATTTGAAAAATGTAAACATCAAAGTTAGACATAAAATCCAAACAGCTCTATCTTCAAAGCCTAAAAATGTCATGGTGTGGACATTTTGACCGGGTTGAGTTTGAATCCTGCCTGTCCTGTTGATTGTTGTTAATGTGATTCACCTGTGTGTGTCCCTGTGTGTGTATATATACCATGTGCCCTTCCTCACTTGTTGTCCGTCCATTGTCTCCACAATGTTTGTCCTGTCTTCAGTTCTGTTTTTACATTACCTTGGATTTATTTTATTAAATTACTTTGATTTTCAGTCCTGCAATTTGGGTTCCCTTTTTCTTCATTCATCCACATGACAAAAAATTGGCTATACATAAATAAAACCGCAAAATACTGTGTAAACTGTCTATTTCAAGCCTTCAATATGGCTGAATTGAATTGATAAATACAATACTAGAACAAATAATGGCAAATATTATTAACAGTCCTAAAACAGTAAAATTCTGCTGAACAGCTTATGAACCGGGGCTTTTTTCAAACTAGCTCCCTCTCTTTTTCTAGAAAGCAATCTGTCTGCCTGTTTGGAAGAGCCCTATTGGCAAGTGCGAAATGCTGCAAAGCAGTTGCATTCACTTTGCAAGCACAGGTACACATTGCATGTCATGCATCGGAGACAGGCTTTTCCAATGCAGTCTTGTGCTCTGCAATGCATGGGGTTTTTCAAGGCTACCATCTCCGGGTTAGGGTTAGGATTACAATATCCCCAGTCGAGGTCAGCAGCTCTCCACCCGCACCATACACGGTGTTGGCAAAGCACTGCTTCCCCCTCCTGAGGCGCCGGAGGGTTTGCCATAACCTTTTTGAGGGCGACCGATAGTCATGCTCCATGGACTCTCCGAACTCCTCCCAGTCCCGGGTTTTTGCCTCTGCAACAGCCCGGGCCGCGGCACGCTTGGCCTGCCGGTACTGGACAGCTGCCTCAGGAGTCCCACGAACCATCATTGCTCGATAGGACTCCTTCAGCCTGACGGCATCCCTTACTGCCGGTGTCCACCACCGGGTTCGGGGGTTGCCGCCGGGACCAGCACCAGAGACCTTGCGACCACAGCTACGAGCCGCTTTATTGGTGATAGAGGAAGAGAACATGGTCCACTCGGACTCAATGTCCCCCTCCTCTGGGTCCTGGGAGAAGCTCTCCCGGAGGTGTGAGTTGAAAGTCCGTCTGACAGGGGGCTCAGCGAGACGTTCCCAGCAGACCCTCACTATACGCTTGGGTCTGCCAGGTCTGACCGGCTTCTTCCCCTGCCAGCGGATCCAACTCACGACCAGGTGATGATCGGTTGACAGCTCCTCCCCTCTCTTTACCCGAGTGTCCGAGACACGCGGTCGAAGGTCAGATGATACGACAACAAAGTCGACCATCAACCTCCGGCCTAGGTGGGTGTCCTGGTGGACACCCTTGTGCTCGAACATGGTGTTCGTGATGGACAGACCGTGACTGGCACAGAAGTCCAACAACTGAACACCGCTCGGGTTCAGATCAGGGGGGCCGTTCTTCCCGATCACCCCTCTTCAAGTGTCCCTGGCATTTCCCACATGGGCGTTGAAGTCCCCCAGGAGAATAACGGAGTCCCCGGGCGGTGCACTGTCCAGTACCCCTCCCAAGGACTCCAAGAAGGCAGGAACTCGGCACTGCCGTTAGGCCCGTAGGCCGTCACAACAATGAGAGACTTGTCCCACCCGGAGGCGGAGGGACGCGACCCTCTCATTCACCGGGGAGAACTCCAACACGTGGCGGCTGAGATGGGGGGCAATGAGTATGGCCACCCCAGCTCGCCGCCTCTCCCCGTGGGAAACACCAGAAGATGACTGACAGGTATGAGATGATGATACAATCATCCCCATCTGAGAAGTCCTCTATCTCAGAGTTGTCTGCAATTGCCAACAGCAATTGTTCTGCTCTTGACAATGAAAGTGTGCCTGTAATGATAATGTTAAAAACCAACATCAAAATCTACAGTATATCAGTGACACTTCATAGCTTGGCTATCATGTGCTAGCTATAGCCTAGCTATATTGTTTATGATTTAGAATTTAGCAACACTAAACAATACTTAGCATATACCACTTAGTACTTAAATATACTATTTACAACTGTAAACCACATAACTAAGCAAATGTGTGATTCAAAATAACTATTTACAACTGTAACTTCATCTAAATCTTCCACACTGTTAGCTAAACAGATAGCGGTACATAGTCCTAGCGTCCTCAAACGAGTGCTTCACTTTTACTGACATCCTAGCCTGCTACTACAATCAAAATTTGTCAAATTTCAAACTCCATATGAAGCTAGAGACATTATTGTGCATAAAAAAATGTATTTCATTCATAAAATGTTGATAGAATTTTTACCTGGGGCATTTTTCTTCTGTAAACTCTTGTAGAAGTCTTTTGCTGATATTGCCACCAATTTTTTCCTACTGCCTTAAGTGTAATTCTATCATATCACCACAAGATGGCGCGGGCAGTGTCCCTAAATGTGGCCATCAGGTCAAGGATGTAAAAAATTGAGTATCATTGTGCCAAGAGGCAAAAATGTAATGTCCTCGTATGAGGTCGCAGGGTCTCAGGAGGTTAATAGGGTTTTTTTTCATGTAAACCAGTATAATGCAACTTAATGGGGATTTTTCCATGTAAACCAGTATAATGCAACTTAATAGGGGTTTTTACATGTAAACCAGTATAATGCAAATTAATAGGGTTTTTTCCATGTAAACCAGTATAATGCAACTTAATAGGGATTTTTCCATGTAAACCAGTACAATGCAACTTAATAGGGATTTTTCCATGTAAACCAGTATAATGCAACTTAATGGGGATTTTTCCATGTAAACCAGTATAATGCAACTTAATGGGGATTTTTCCATGTAAACCAGTATTATGCAACTTAATAGGGATTTTTCCATGTAAACCAGTATAATGCAACTTAATAGGGATTTTTCCATGTAAACCAGTATAATGCAACTTAATGGGGATTTTTCCATGTAAACCAGTATAATGCAACTTAATAGGGTTTTTTACATGTAAACCAGTATAATGCAACTTAATAGGGATTTTTCCATGTAAACCAGTATAATGCAACTTAATAGGGTTTTTTACATGTAAACCAGTATAATGCAACTTAATGGGGTTTTTACATGTAAACCAGTATAATGGAACTTAATAGGGGTTTTTACATGTAAACCAGTATAATGGAACTTAATAGGGGTTTTTACATGTAAACCAGTATAATGCAACTTAATAAGGATTTTTACATGTAAACCACTATAATGTAACCTAATAGGGGTTTTTACATGTAAACCAGTATAAAGCAACTTAAATAGGGATTTGTACATGTAAACCAGTATAATGCAACCTAATAGGGATTTTTCCATGTAAACCAGTATAATGCAACTTAATAGAGATTTTTCCATGTAAACCAGTATAATGCAACTTAATAGGGATTTTTCCATGTAAACCAGTATAATGCAACCTATACGGATTTTTCCATGTAAACCAGTATAATGCAACCTAATAGGTTGCATTATACCACCAGACCAAGACCCAAACGAAGACTCAGACCACCACCAGATAATGACCACAGACCAGGTTTCCTTAGTTACAGGAACCAAATTGTTTAGATTTCTGCTGCTGGACATGTGAATATATCATATGAGAGATCAATAAATTATCCATCCATCCATCTATCTACTATTCTATTGTCTGTTACAATTGCATGTGAAGACAGCTCCAAAGTTTTTCATCTGGAAGTAGATCATTTCACGTCAAAACGATCACGATTTGTTCTCGTACTTAACTTTTGTCATGTGAGATCTATATTCAGGTTATAGCTCTTTAGCTGTTTTGCCGCCTTTTGTACAGCCGTTCATTCGGTTTTGTTCAAAATCCGCTGAAATGAGCCCATGTTTAATATCTGATGATATTGGTCTGAGTGTTGTGGGGCGAAAAACTCTCCAGCAATATCATCTTCTGCCACCGGCCATCCACCCCCGTCAAAAATTCAATAACATCCCACTAAGTTAGATCTTTGAAGTGACTGTAATGGCTGCCAGGGGCTCTGGGAAAGTATACGGCCAGTTTGTACTTTCCTTTATAAGCAATTATAACAGCGTGTCCAATATCATGTTAGCAGATCAGGCACGCAGGACTTTTGTAGATGGATCCCACTGTTCCTCAAAAGCCGTACATGCAAAAGCTTG